TACACATACATAACATTCTATGTACATAATGCATGTATGTATATATGTTTCAACTCAAACATGCCACAATAGACAATGCAGAAAGAGAAATGTTGTTTCTATTAAACCAAGTATTAGAAATTTACAAAAATGTAAATGCCACTTACGTAAATACCTTTTCTTTGAAACTCACTTTACATTACAAATATGGTGTCTATGTTAACATGTAATGGGTTTATAATGTCACTGTAAGTGAATCAATAAAATAAAAGTATTCTGTCTTAGGGGCTAGAGTGATAGCACAGCTGGTAGGGCATTTGCCTTGCATGTGGCCAACCCAGGTTCAATTTCCAGCATCCCATATGGTCCCCCGAGCACCACCAGGAGTTTTTCCTGAGTGCAGAGCCAGGAGAACCCCTGAACATCGCTGCATGTGACCCAAAAAAAAATGTATACTGTCTTAATTTGTGGAATAATCAACAAAAGTTCTTTGGATGCTCGATAACCTTTTGAGAAAAAGGGAGACATAAAATAAAATAAATAAAAACATCTGATTTAAAGAACAAGGTGTTAGGGTCTGTGAGATAGTACAGCAGATAAAACACTTGCCTTGCACACTGCCAACCAGACTTTTGGTTCAGGGCATCCCATATAGTCCCAGGACCCCACCAGGAGTGATCCCTGAGTGCAGAGGCAGGAATAAGCCCTGAGCACAGAGCCAGGAGCAAGCCCTTAATACATCTGGGTGTGACCTAAAAATCAAAAATTTATTTCAAAAATAAGTAAGAATGCGGTATTCCTCAAACAAACAAATACCCATAAAATTCTTTTTTTAAAAAACTTTCCCACAGCTGCCATCAAGTAAACTCATCCATCAGCCTTCTCTACAGATTCATGACAAAATCTCGTAAGAGATGCAAGCCACACTGCTAACATTTGTGGGTACACCAGTCTTTGGGAGACCATCAGGAAGGTGGTGAGCCGAGACCCCCACTGCTGAAGTTCCAGCAGCAGCAACCACACCCTACAGCATCCGCTGTGCCAATGGCCCAACTCCATTGCTTCTGACAATCTCCACAGTGAGGCTGAACCTATGAAAATTCCAGATAAACGTGATCAGGCTGAGAGCTTTGGGCTGTTTTTGAAATAGGGCGGGAAGACCCCCACACACTCACTCACCTCTGTACTCCAGAAGCCCCTAAAGCCACACCCACACTCTACAGCCAGTTCTACATATCCTCAAGAGACACCTCCAAACTCCTCAATAACTCACAGCCCAGTAAGAGCAGACCAAATGAGATGGGAAAGTAGCATGAAAAGCAACTAAGCTCAATAAACAAAAACAGGACCACAAAAGGCTCAACATTTTAGTGAACCCTCAGACAAGGACTTAATGTTGCCCTGGTGAGATCGAACAATTTTCACAAATTTCCTTTTACTGAATTATTTCTCGATAATTCTATGAGCCATTTAGTTGTAACAAGCAATATAAAGCAAGTTATTTTGTGCCCGTTAAAGGGAAAGATTGGGGAAATAGGGACATGGTGGAGAGAAGGTGACTCTGGCAGTGGGATTGCTGTTGGAACCCTGAAAGCCTGTAATGACTGTATTATGAACGATTTTGTAAACCACGGTGTCTAAAGAAAGTTAAAAAAAAAAATTTTACTAGGAAAATTACACAGAACCTTAAAAGGAACACAATGCCACAATGTCAAATCAAGGCTAATTTCACTCTGTATAATCAATCAATCAATCAAGAACTGATTGATTATACAGAGTGAAGAACAAAACAGTAATGCTTAGACAGAAGTGATTTTGTAAATTCCAGGAACACTGTTTAATATCTTGATCAAAAATCACATACTCATACAGATTAATAGGCTGACAGGTCAAAACTTCTAAAGTAGCACATTCTAAAGAAATAACACCACAAACCCAGAACAGGTGATAAAAACAGCCGCTATCCCAACTCAGAGAGACAATCCAGTGCTCTGTCATGAGGGACAGCAGCCCCTCAGCAACCCCAGGGCCGTGTCTCATGGCGAGAGCTGTTCTATTTAAAACTAAATCACAAGCTCCCTAAGAAGGACAGTGAAACTATGCTCTCATTTGAACCCAAAGCACTAATTGGGCCAAAATGAAATTAATATGTTCAGTCAACCCCATGTCCTTTTTTAGATTGTCAGATCCATGGAACATTGAGGACAAATCAGAAGTAATGGTAATCCTGAGTACTTACTCTGCGCTAGGCACCTGGGATAAGCACTTTACATCTATGAACTCATGTAAGTGTAAGTATCTTACAGCTATATGCAATTATTGGACCCTCTTCAAATTAGGAACACAGACGACAGCAGAGTGCGAGGCCAGCACTTGTCCTCACTGTCTCACCAGCCCTGATCACCTGGCTCTTTAAATCAGTCGTGTTTTCAATTGCCTTAGCTTGGGGCCTTTAATTATCAAAAACAGAGTATAAACAACTTGTATATAGCAAAGCCAGGACTCAAAAGCGGCCAATCTGACTCTGAAGCCTCTGTACACTACAGGTACATACTACATACTAACCACAGAACAAAGACAAGGCGCAGTAACTGGAGGCGAGCAAGTATAAGATTCATTGCCAATTCTATACTAGCCTTGTTATCTAGGCTAAGATCCCAATGCCCACAGGACACTCCTAATTTGCAAGAAAGTTTTCTGACTAATTCTTCCACTAACTTCCAAGTACTCAGGGACTTCAGGCAAGAAGAGTAAATGTAGGAAGGTGAATGTTGTGGGGAGATTTACCTTTATGCCAATAGACAAACAGATCATTTCACAACTCTTGGACTTCTTCATTATGCTAATAGAGATATGTATATGTACATATATAAATTATATATATATATATATACATACATATACACACTGTAGCACTGTCCTCCCATTGTTCATCGATTTGCTCGAGTAGGCCCAGTAACGTCTCCATCATGAGACTTGTTGTTACTGTGTTTGGCATATCAAATCCATCACGGGTAGCTTGCCAGGCTTTGCCATGCAGCAAGATACTCTCGGTAGCTTGCCGGGCTCTCCGAAAGGGGCGGAGAAACTGAACGTGTATAAATATACACACACATATATTATATGGGAGACTAGCTGGGGCAATTCTAAAGAAAGTACCACAATACAAGTAAATTGGAAAATCTTTATAAAGCTGCTTCTACAGAAGTTTAAAGCACTTTAATATATTTAAATGCTCTGTAGCAGCTATTACTGGGATAGTTTCAAGTCTTACCCTTTCTCAAAGTTCAGAGTGTAGATCTAAATATATATTGAAGCAGTTCAAGGCAGTTTTGAGGTCATTATAAGTAAACTTCAGAAACAATGAATACCCCAAACTGTTATTAAAACCTTTGCAAATCACAGTGCCTAACTTTATGTGTTTATGTATTTATGTATATATACATGCATATACATATATACATATAGGGTTGTTGTTTTTTTTTTTAAGTAAACTGAGGAGCCAGAAGTACAGTACAGCAATTAGGGCACACAGGACTGGGTTCAATCACCAGTCCCCAGAGCACCTCCGGGAGTAATTCCTGAGCACAGAGCCAGGAGTAAGCCTAGGGCACCCCCACGTATACCACTCCCCCACAAAATTAAACTTCATTAAAGGGACCTCAGGTACATGAGTAATGTGGGGAGGAGGGAGGAAAAACAGGTAATAAAACTATACATCCAAACCACAGGCTCAGCAATACTGAAAACGTGAGATCCAAACTACAACCACCAAGCTTTAAAATGTGCCTGTCAAGGTAGCAGGCTGGTGGGGGGGGGGGGGGGGGGGAGGGGGAGAAAGGCCCAAACTGAGGACATTTAGTGTTGGTTGAGATGGTGTTAGAACATTATATGATAAAACTGAACTTAAAATGTCAAATAAAAAGTAAAACTTCACTGTAAATTGGGGGGGAGGGGGGAGGGGGGAGGGTAAGGGGTTACTCCCTGCTGTGCTGGAGCCAGGGTCAGCAGCAGGCAAAACACCGTGGAATTTAACTCAAGAAAGTGGAATGGCAACAAGCAGTAGTATAAACCTCCAAAACAGAGAATCAAGGAGGGATCAGAACTCACTCGTGGGGATCACATAAGAAATGATTACAGATTCTTCGAGTTTTTGTTGACCATCTGGCGCATTTTAAGATATGGACTATTTAAACTGCCTTAAACAAACCAGTGCCTTTTGGACTTAGCAAAATGAAAATATTCCACAGTACATTTACAAAAGTAACTTATGACTTAGCTCCGGTCGGACTGGGAGAATTGGTCAGAATTCCAGAAGTAAACAAAGTGATGACTCCGTTTACAATAAAGGGCATGAGCCGCAAAGAAAGCAGTCAAAAGATTTATGATGAGCGGTCCAGGACTAGAACGCTGACCCCCTCCGGTGCTGGCCCCTGCATTCATCACAGCCCAAGACATTGCCAAGTGTCCCCACGTGCCTGCTGCACTGAAGGGACAGGTGCGGAGCTGCACTGGAGGGACACAGACAGGGACCCAACTAGGAGACGCCCAGCTCCATCAGGATGTGACAAACGCCCGGGGAGAAAGCAAGCCCCGGGTGCACGGGAACGACGGGGGGCTTCCACGGTCCAAGGGCCGCGCGAGGCCGGGGTTCGGGGTACCTGCGCCTTCCGAGAGTAACGGGTGCGGGACGCTCCCGCATGTCCCCGGAGACGAGACCCGGGTTCCCACCCAGCACCCGGTGACAGTCCGCCCGAGGAGCCGCGACCAGTCCCTGCTGACGTCCTGCGCGCCCGCACGAGGCCCCGCGCCTGCCCCGCGCCGCGTGCCCGCCCGGAGCCCCACCCGGACCCGGACCCGACGCCCCCGCCTGCGGGCCTGGGCTCGGCCGGCAGCGGCCCCGGCGCCTCGGAGCCCGGGAGGGCGGAGGCGCCCCGAGCAGACCCGCCGCAGACCCGGCCCGCCGCCCGCCCGCCCCGGGAAGGGGCGACCGCGCCCCCCGCTGCGGTCGCGGCGCTCACCGGCTCGGGCTGGGCTGGGCTGGCGGGGCGCGGAGCCCCAAGGCACGGCTGGGCGCCCGCGGCCGGCGGATCCCTGCCCCGCCGCCGTCCCGCTCGCACCCGGCTCGGCCAGGCGGCGGCGGAACCGGCCGCACCGCGCCAACGTCAGCGCGCCGCCCCGCCCCCCGCACGGCAGGCGGGGCTCGTGCGAGCCGGGGCCGGGAGCGCGCGGGCGAGGGCGGGGTGAGCGGGCCGGGGGCGCGCGGGCGGTGATGAAGGGGGAGCGAGCGGGACGGGGGCGCGCGGGTCGGGGAGACGGGAGCGCGCGGGCGAGGGCGGGGTGAGCGGGCCGGGGGCGCGCGCAGACAGGAGCTGGGAGGAACGGCGCTGGGGTGCGCGCACGGAGAAAGGCGGGAGCGCGCGAGCTGGGGCTGGGAGGAGCGGGGCGGGGGAGGGAAGGGAGACGGGAGCGCGCAGGCGGGGGGGGGAGGAGAGGGGCGCGCGCGCGGGCTGGGCCTAGGAGGAGAGGGGCGGGGGAGGGCAGGGAGGGGGGAACGCGCGCCAAGGACCCGCCGTCTGCGCGCACCCAAAAGCGGGCACGCGCGCAGGGGCGAGGCCGGATGGGTCTCTGGCTACGCTGGACACCGGGGGTCGCAGCGCGCGCTGCGACCCAGCTCCCGGCCGCCCCCCTAGTCTCACAGAAGCCCCATCCTGCGGGACCGACACCCGCATCAGGCTCCGGGACCGCACCCGCGCACCAGGCCCCCCGCACCCCGAGGGAATGCGGCGCGGCTGGTCCAGATTCCGCTGCTTAGTGCTGTGCCCGCTCCGGGCGACGGGAACGCCAGTGCAGACTCGGCGACAGGACGCCCCGGTCCGTTTTGAGCCTAGGCGGCCAGAGCCAGCCTCTCCCGACTCAGCTCGCGCAGCACAGTCGGAATGAACACCGACTAGTCCCAAGAACAAAGGCAGCCTCGACCTTGCGGCCAGGAGTCTTGGTGAAGACTGAAGCGGTCTCGGGGCTCAGGAAACACGCGGAGAGGCCGGGTCCGTCTGTCGCAGTGTTTGATAGATCAGCGGAGCGGTGAGCCCGTGCCACCTCCGTCCGCGTGCAGCTCGCCCTCCGCGAGCACCCCTGCCGAGCATCCCTGCCGCTCCCTTTTGTCGGTGTTAAGAGGTGTTTTTATCTGTGTATTTATCGTACATGAAAACTACGTTTCATTGTTTTGGGGTGAGGTTAGGTTTGAGCCAAACCCTGCGACGCTGGGGAGGCTCTTGCAGGCTCTGTGCTCAGAACGACCCCAGCAGTGTTCCGGGGCCGTTTCTGTCCAGGGTCCGGCTCGGTGCCAGGCAAGTGCCTGACCGGCTATATATCTATAGCATTGTAGCACTGGCCTCCCATTTTTAATCCATTTGCTCAAGCGGGCACCAATATTGTCTCCACCCCAGGAATTTTAAAACATCTCCCACTCCAAAACCCCTAGCCTGAAAGCCCTATCTGAGAACACTTAATTGATTAAGGATAGTAATACCTTATGAACATGAGAAGCATTTCTTAATAACGCAACCAGCGTGAAAGTGTTTGTAGAATTTGAACTCTTGTAGCAAATATGATCTGATGGTCAAGGTAGGCTCAGTAGTAATACACACACACACACACACACACACACACACACACACAAGCAGGTAAAAGGCAAAGCCTGCTGGCCACTGCTGTGCTCTGCAGCGCCTCCTGGAACTGATCTCAGAAGTGTGTCCTGGTCATATTTCTGGGAATCTTCTGTGGTACTTAGGGGTTGTCTGTGTGCTCCTGTATTTTAAACTGTTCCCTCAACAGGAGGAAACTAAATACAAGTTAACTTTGATGTAGATCAGGGTCTGGCCACGTCTTAAAAATCAATTGAATTCTATTTATTTGCGATTCCTTAAATTAGCTTACCCTATGCCATGGAGGTATTGGATAAATGTTTGCTTATTTTAACTTTGTTCTAGTTATTAAGAACAGAAAAGTAAACACGACAACGCAGCATGTCTCATCTTTGCTGATTTACTAATCTCCATACCCCTTATAGAGTGACACGGAATCACAACTTCCATAACACAATTCTATGGCCACAAATTTTAAAATAAAAGTGTACTTCTCAAAAGACTACAGCCATTTTCATCCAGCATGCTAAATTAGAAGCGCATGTTCAGTGGTGAAATTTCCAGAATGCTGGGGCATAGAGCTTAGTGCACCTGCCTTGGAAGTGCCCTGTGTGTTGCAGATTGCACCAGTGTGCTCCTGCAGTTCTGATGTCTGTGATAAGCATTTCCTGTTGCACCACAGTGAGGGTGTGTGTGTGTGTGTGTGCGCGCGCGCGTGCACATCACCAAGAAAGGGGGTGCACAAGAATAGCCGAGATAAATACCAGGAGGTTTACTCCATGGCTTGGAGGCCAGCCTCACACTCTAGGGGTAAAGGCAGCTCAGATAGAGAAGGGAGCACCAAATAAAGGGTAATGGGAAGATCTGCCCAGGATGCGAAATGCATGCTGAAAGTAGACTATAGACCAAACATGATTGCCACTCAATTTTTCTTTTGCAAACCACAGCACCCAAAAGGAGAGAGAGAACAAAAGGGAGTGCCCTGCCACAGAGGCAGGGTGGGATGGAGGGTGGGAGGGATACTGGGATTAGTGGTGTTGGAGAACGGGCACTGGTGGAGGGATGGGTACTCGATCATTGTATAACTGAAACCCAAGCACAAAAATTTGTAAGTCTTCAACTGTACCTCGTGGTGTTTCACTAATAAAAATTTTTAAAAAATGGAAAAAAAAGAAAGGGGGTGCAGCCTCCAGCGAGCAAACCCAAAAGATGTATAAATGTCACAACCAGGAAGTTTGACCTCCAGTATGAGCCTGTGTGTGAGCTTCAGCAGCCACCCCCAGAAGAGCATCTCAACAAGATTTGTGTGCCTGATTAAGAACACAAGGGCATGTGCCAGTGTAGCAGCTGCAGAAGTACAAGCCTCAGGTGGAGAGGCTCCAGTGAAGTGTGTGTATTGCAGGCTGCGGGGAGACTCCACTCAACTCGCACCACAGCCCAGTGCCAGGCGACATACGTAGCACCATGCCCAAGTGCAGTACAGCCTCTGAGGACCACAGAAACAGGATCAACTAGAACAGCTACAAGTAAAAGGATTGGGAGAGAGAAAGGGGGAAATCCTCTGGAGTTGTGGTCGAAAGTATCCAATATCACTTCTTTTTTGTTTTTTAAGCTTTCATTTTTTAAATTTTTTTTGTTATAGCACCATGATTTACAAAGTTATTCATGGTTGACTTTTAGACATACAATGTTCCAGCACCCATCCTGCCACCAGTGTCAACCTCCATCAAGGTTCCCAGGTTCTCTACCCAACTCCCACCCCCACCCTGCATCTTGACAGGCACCATTTTAAGATCAGTTGTTAAAGTTTGGTGCATAAAACTCCAGGGGTGGCCAGGGAGAGGCCCCCTCGCCGCCCGCATTCGGGTGGGCCCGGGCCACTCCCCCAGCCAGGGTGGCTCGAGCCATGGGGCAGATGGTGGAGGAAATGAGGGCCAAGCCAGTTGATTGATCAATTGCTGATTATTCCATTCTCCCCACATGCCTGTCCCAGTCTCTCTGAGTCTCCCATTCTAGTCTCACACTGCCCCTCATTTCCGTCTTCTCCTGTCTCTCCCCGCTCATCTCTCTGCGCTCGATCTCCCAACCTGGGCTCTCTCTCTCTACATGCCTGGTCCTGTATTCTTCTACATCCTTCTCTGTCCGCCTTGCTAGTCTTTCCGCTATCCATCTTGCCACCCTGCTTTCTCTTTCATCTCTCCAACTCTCTCCCTCTCTCCAGCTCTCTTTTCCAACTCCAACTTATAGTTAAGCATTAGGCACTTTGGCCAGGCCCATCTTGATGCCAGGGTAGCACATAGCTTACCTCTTGCCCCGGTTCCATCCAGTCCCTCGCCAGGACCCTGCTTTGGGGGGGGTGCTAGGGAGCAAGGGCAGCTGAGGCTTAGGTCAAGAGAACAGATGCCCAGGAGGAAAATATCACTGAGAGTCAATAAACTTTCACAAAATCACAGAGTGGAATATTCAGCTGTTACAAAATCACAGCATTTACCGTCTTCTTGTTTCTATGCAAAAAGGACATTGCTCAGAATAAACTATGCAAAGGACTTAAGAAGAAGAGGAAAATAACATTTACAAGTCAACAGAGCACCAAAAAAGAAGTTACAAATAAACAATGGGAGCACTGTGATGGGAGCAAGCCAATAAACCTAAACTACTTGAGGCTATGCAGGAAGGACAAAATATTGTTATCCTACAGTTTGGGTTGCATAGGTTCACTGTGGTTGACTCTAGTTTAGATGGTTAGCTCTATCGTTCCTTAACATCCCTGAATCTCCTTGACTCCTGGGCCTGCCCCACTCCCCAGCCCCTACTTCTGCCATATTGCTTCCTATTTATCTCTTCTCCTCTGTTTCATTCTAATTTGCTTGTCCTCGCTAGACAAAATTCTTGTGAAAAGTTTTGAGGGGTTATGTGAGTAGTAAGTCTCAACTAAATCCCTCTAAATTGCCCTTTGTCCATCTAAAGGGTTTGCCAAAGTACACCATGGAGCAGAAATACAAGAATACTCTGAGCTGATCTTAAATGAATATAGCAAGACTAGACCTTTACTTCTTGGGCCTTGTGATTTTGAGAAACACCAGGGCCATCCTACGAAACATTACTGGGTCATAGGATACACTCACTGATGCTCAAGGGTCAGTGATATTGGGATGAAACCAGGGTCAAGCACAAGTAAGGCATGTGCACCAACCCCTGTACCACTTCTCTTCAGGCTTCATAGGGGTTTCCAAACTCCCTGGCTTGGAAACACCTGTTGCTAGGATGTTGTCAAGGAAGTATTCATAGACTAGGTCCTCCATGGACCCTGCTGTTACGGGTCAAGCTTGTGCCATCAGTCTGCAGCTGGGTTGGGCTGCAGGAAGTTCTTTTCAGAATGTAATCGGAGTCTT